TTAAAAGAAACATCAATGTTAATCAATAATGAATAAAATTTACTTTAGCCCACGAGGTATAGGAGCAATAAAAAAATAGCCACCGCGGCTAAGGTATCTAAAGATGTGGCCAAGGGTTGGTTAAAGAAACAAGCAATGTGGCAAATATATTTACCTGCACCGCGTTATATACCGAGGAAGAAGTTTGATATTTTTACAACGAATGAAGTTCATCAGGCTGACCTCTTGTTTCTTCCCCACTATAAGGTAAGACGCAAAACATATAAATACGCTTTAACCATAGTGGATGTGGCTAGTCGCTACAAAGACGCTGAGCCATTAACCTCGAAAGATTCAATAGAAATAGCTAATGCATTGAGTTGCATATATAAACGCGGACCACTAAAATGGCCTTAGATATTTGAAGTAGATCCTGGTCATGAGTTTATGTGATCAGTAACTAAACTGTTAACAAAGCACGATGTTGAAATCAGGTGTGTTGAAAAAGAGGCCCACCGTAGTCAAGCTATTGTTGAAAGATTTAACCGGACATTAGCGGAACGTTTGTTTGGCTATCAGTATGGTATCGAAATGAAATCGGAACTATTGAGATCAACCGAATGGGTGACACGATTATCAGCTGTTGTATCAGTGCTGAATAATGAGGTAACGAGATTAATCGGGAAGAAACAATCTGATGCCATTAAAATAAAATCTGTGACTTCCGAATCTTCAGCACCGAGGAGAGGCAAAGAACAAAAACTTCTGGATAGAGTAAGGGTAGGATATTTATACCAGCCCGGTGCACTTGAAGGAGGTCTACGTCGCGCAACCGATCCGATTTGGTCCCTTAAGACATATAACATAAGTCGATTGGTTATGAAAGAAGGAGAGCCTATTCTTTATTATCTTAAAGATGGACCGGGCAGGGCATTTGTACGAGAAGAGTTGCTCATAGTTCAAGACGATAGAGTATTACCACCATAACCATAAGCATAGGTAGTTACACCATCATTATCAATCCATCTCTTTGTATCTAAGGGGGATAATGATGTCTTGTTCATTCTTAATCCATATATCCTATGATTGTAACTTCTTAAAGAGTTCATCTCGTGTTTGAATGTTCTACCCTTGAATAATGCTTCTTTATACTGTTCGTGTTTGATATGCTTTTTTACCACATACTTCTTAACACCCTTAGCTTTTCTTATCTCTCCATTATCAGACATCTTTATAGAATACATCTTAGGTCTTAATCCCACATACTCCGCTATAGGAGTCCCAGCACATTCATCCTTCATCTTACCTAACACCTTTTTATTGACTACGCTGTGCAGTGGATTATCTTTTGGGTAATCGCTAGATAAACATATCTATTTTTTCTGCCATATCTTTATACACATCCTCGGTTTGTATTTCCATCAACAAAGAATCTGTGTCGGTATATAACACCTCGCATCCATCGCCGTATTGCTTCTTAAGTTCGTTGTAATAAAAGTCATACATTAAGTGTTTTGACAAGTCGAGAATACTCATACCGACGTACACCGGTCTGTTGAATTTTATATTACTCTTCTGCATAAGCAACGCGGCTAAGTCGTTATCGAATATCTTGCTTCTGTTAAAAGCCGGACTGGCTATAAGTTTCCTGAGTCTTTCTTCCTCATTAGACCTGACTAATTTAACATCAACACGCTTCCTTAGATCCTCCATAGTTTTACCAAATACTGAGTTATTCATGAGCTTATATAGGTTCTTTTCGAAATCGCTGGTAGCTATCTTTCTTACTGGTTAACGGTGCCCTGCATGGAGCTATTGCCTGTCTGGATTTTACTGTACTATGCACTTCCGTTAGTAAATGGCTGACTGCCGAACCTAGCTCTCTCTCACTCTCTTGCTTTGATGTGGGCTTTACACCCCAAAAGCTATTGAAACAGGGTGGCACAGGAAAAGAACTATCTTACTCACTGTGTGGTTTGTGTTTAACCCTACTTTTCATTGACAATTGACTCTCTGTGTCGAATGAACTCAAATTCACATCGGCGTTTTACCGTGTGTAAAAAAAACCATGTGGATCGAGTGTGTTGCATGTTCAAGGATCAAATGGTAAATACTGATTGAATCTGACTGGATTATTGACATAAACTGTAAATGTTATGTTTATCTTACTTGAAACATTTAAATTCAAGTCAATCACATGAATTCTAACTCTGACACTTGAAAATGACATCTGACGAATCTACGGAAGCTCAGTCTAGTCAAAACATGGCGACTACTGTCAATGATGCAAGTCATATTAGTCCGTCTGAACCTCTGAAATTAGGGGATGATCCTGTTAAAAACTGGACATTATGGAAACAAATGTGGGGTCATTACTGTGTAATCACCGGTAAGAGTGATGAAACTTGTAATATGAAAATCTTCAGATCTTACTTAATTTCTACCATGGGAGTAGAAGGACTACAAATCTACAACTCATGTGATCCTTCAGAAACTGACTCTGTAAAGAACATTATTGAGAAGATTGATTCACACATTCTTGGTGAAAGCAATGAGACTTTTGAAAGATACATGTTTAATACTAGAACTCAGCAACCAAATGAGAATGTTGATACTTATGTAGCAGCTATTAAGCAACTTGTGAAAACTTGCAACTTTTGTAATTGCCTTAGAGACTCTCTTACTAGGGACAGAATTGTTCTGGGCATATCTGATGCCAATACTCATAAACGCTTACTTCAGGAGCGCAACCTGACACTTGCTAAATGCATAGACATTTGTCGAAGTCATGAAAACACAGCATCTCAGTTGAAAGTAATAACAGCAGCACAATCTGGTGAAGTAAACAAAGTCACAAGACAAACACCACACATGTCAAAATATCACAGAGAAAGCAAACAACATAATAACCCCAAACCTGCTTACAGAGGTACACACAACAGTCAAAGGTCAAATACTTACCAGGGACAACAGCCACGACTCAACACCTGCAAGTTTTGTGGTAGAGAACATGTATTTCGCAAAGAACTTTGTCCAGCATGGGGAAAGACCTGTAAGTTATGCAAGAGACAAAACCACTTTGACATATGTTGCACATTCAGCCAGAAACCTGTCCATGGGGTACAAGTCTAAGATGATTGCTCTCACAATACAGATGTATCAGAAGATGGCTATGTATTTACTCTCTCAGAAATACAGACAGATGTTAACAAAGTTAACAGATACAGATCTTATCCTAGCTAATATGATTGTTGATGACAAGAAAACAGTGACATTCCAAGTTGACTGTGGCTCAACAGTGAACATTATCCCTGTCAAGTTTGTGAACTGTGCATTACAGGACAGTGAAACACAATTGAGAATGTACAATCAAACTCTCACAAAGCCACTAGGAAAGTGTATCATGAAGATCACCAACCCAAGATGACATAAGACATCAAATTTCATGTCATCAAAGAAAACTTGACACCACTTCTTAGCAGGAAATCAGCAGAGCAGATGCAGCTGATCACTGTCAACTACCGCAACTTTCAACAAATCAACAACATCACCACAGATACCATGCTGTCAAACTTAAATGATGTTTTCGACAAAAGCTCCCAAGGTACTTTTCAAGGAGTAGTTCACCTATATGTGAAGGAAGGTATTATGCCGTCTCAGTGCCCACCAAGAAAAGTTCCAATCGCTCTGAAGCCCAAGCTGAAGGAAGAACTTGACCAGCTGGTCAAGCTTGGTGTACTGACAACTGTTACTGAGCCCACAGAGTGGTGTTCCCAAATATCAGTCCAGGTGAAGAAAACTGGTCATTTGAGGGTATGTGTTGACCCCAAATCTCTTAATGAAGCTCTCCAACGGGAAAGATACTTGTTATCGACTATAGAAGATGCACTGCCAGAGATTGCTAAAGCCAGAGTGTTTAGCAAAGTTGATCTAACCCATGGGTACTGGCACTGCGTACTGGATGAAGAGAGCAGTTACCTTACCACGGTTATAACACCTTTCGGGAGGTACCGATGGTTAAGGCTTCCTTTCGGAACAAAGGTTAGTTCTGAAATATTTCAGAGAATGTTACACAAGAATCTAGAAGGTTTAGAAAGTGTTTTCTGTGTAGCAGATGGTGTGCTTGTGCATGGAGAAAATGATGATATCCATGATGCAAACCTCCAGCAATTACTCCAGCTTTAAGATGCAGTGAGAGAAACATTAGACTGAACAGAGAAAAGTGTGTCTTCAAGACTGATCATGTTGAATTCCTGGGTCATGAAATCACTGCAAATGGACTGAAAACAGACAAAAAGAAAGTTGAAGCAATCCTGGAAATGGAGACTCTGACTGATGTTGAAGCAGTTCGACGCCTTCAAGGAACTGTCAACTATCTCGCTAAGTTTCTCCCAAGATTGTCTGACGTCATGGAACCAATAAGAAGACTCACTCACCAAGAAGTTAGGTGGGAGTGGACTGATGAACAAGAGACCACTATGATGGAGATCAAACAACTTCTGACTGAGGCACCTGTGTTGAGGTACTATGATCCTCTAGAGGAGCTACACATCGAATGTGATGCTTCAAGCAAGGGACTGGGTGCAGCGTTGTTACAACAAGGGAGACCGCTAGCGTATGCTAGAGCACTGTCTGATACTGAATGTGGTTATGCTCAGATCGAGAAAGAGTGTCTTGCCATTGTCTTTGCCCTGGAGAAGTTCCACCAGTATAGTTTTGGCAGACCAACAATTGTACATTCAGACCACAAACCTCTCGAGGCTATTCTTCGGAAACCTCTGTACAAGGCACCCAAACGACTTCAGTCCAAGATGTTGAGACTCCTTCAGTACGACATAGATGTTGTGTACAGACCAGGAAAACAGATGTACCTGTCGGATATGCTCTCCAGAGCATACATCAACTCAATCACAAGTTCCAGTAAACCTGACACGTTCTCAGCGGTGAATGCAGTCGGACATCTGAGAGTCAGTCCTGAAAAACTAGAAGAATTGTGTAACGCAACATGAGAAGACGAGACAATGAACATTCTCAAGTCTGTAATCCTAAGGGGATGGCCTGAAAATAAGAAAGAATTACCTGAATCACTTGCTCAATACTGCTCTGCTAGAGATGAATTCACTGTGCACGATGGTCTCGTGTTCAAAGGAGAACGCATTGTTGTACCTGTAAACATGAGAACACAAGTCAAATCTCTCCTCCATTCATCTCATCTCGGGAAAGAAAGTATGCTAAGAAGAGCTCGAGAGTATGTGTATAGGCCTGGCATGACCGACCAGATCAAGCAGATCACAGAATCTTGTGAAGCCTGTCAGACATATAGTAGAGCTCAACAGAAGGAATCTCTGATGAGTATTGAAGCCAACTATCCGTGGGAGATAGTAGTGACAGATCTGTTCACGTTTGAGGATCATGAATACCTTCTTACTATTGACTACTTCAGTGGATTCTGGGAAGTTGATTATCTTCCAAAAACTACCTCCTTAGCTGTGATTAAGACACTGAAAATACACTTCTCAAGATATGGCATTCCAAACCAGCTCATCTCTGAGAGTGGTCCACAGTTCGTGAGCAAAGAGTTCTCATCATTCACAAAAGTATGGGACATTGTACATTGTACCAGTTCTCCTAGACATCCAAACGCCAACGGCAAAGCAGAATCTGGTGTGAAAGCAGCCAAAACAATGATGAGCAAGTGCAAGAGTTCGAAGATGGATCCCTATCTCTGTTTGCTCGAACTTTAGAATACTCCGACTCAGAACACAGGGACTAGTCCGACCCAGAAGTTGTTCAGTCGAAGGACTAGATCACTAATGCCAATGTCAGAAGAACTGCTGATGCCTGGAAACCACAGTGACTACCTGAATGATCGCAGATCAATAGAGAGTGCCCAGAGAAAAAGATCTCAGTCCTACAACAGACATGCGAGAGACTTATCTCCCTTGGAGGTCGGAGATATGGTTCGTATGAAACCCTATCGACTAAGACAGAAAGAGTGGGAGAAAGATACTGTGAGTAAACGACTTGATGAACGCTCTTATGAAATCGAGGGTGAGAATGGTTCCTACAGAAGAAATAGAGTACACTTGAGAAAATCAAGCGACACCAATCCTCCTACTCCTTTCCCAAAGCTTATTCCTGCAGTGGAGACCGGTGTAAGACCAGGTGTTACACCCGTGACTCAACACTTAACAAATGTGAAGTCACCTGACCCTGTCTCAGTACATGAGACAAGCAGACTTAAATCTCAGGTAATACCTGTACCTGAAGTTCCAGACAACCCGAGACGATCTACCAGACACAGCAAGACGCCTGCCTACCTCAAAGACTTTGAGGTGTCCATGAAGTAGATCAAAGACCTGATGTTCCTGTTCAAATTGACTGTTAATTGATAATTGTTTTCAGCGTTCAAGAATTTGCAAAAGACTGTAACTTGTGTTAATCTTCGGTGAATAAGCTCTTCAGTGAAGAAGTAATAACTCATTAAGTTCATTACCTTTCATGGTAATCTTAATCATTGTATTAATCACTAGTACAAGTGATTCTTTGTTTGCTCCTGTTCTACGTTAAAGTTTTAAAGCTTTTCAAAAAGGGGAGGATGTTACAATATTTGCCACGGCCCGGTTAACGGTGCCCTGCATGGAGCTATGGCCGGTTTTCTTCAACAATGCATCCCAAGATAGTCCGGGACTGGAATAGTACCATGCAGGATCCAAGCCGTATTGTTTTAAACATGTCTTTCTAAATATCTCGAATATATCGGAGAGTAACAGTACATTGGTTTTTAAGTACAGATCAGGATAATCGCCTAAATTCTTACAACCTAATTTATCCCACACCGTCAGAGTGTTTTCATAATCGGCATCGGTTATTTTAGATTCTGTTAAGTTACTATAGAATGATTCAAGAGGTGGTAATTAAGTTTCGTCGAATCTAGACCAATCATCCATATATTCGTAAGGATATACACCTTTTCTCAGCAACAAATGACGCGTTAACCTGTCGGTATATTGATTTGTTATTGCAAAGTCATTGGGATTGTTCGCATTAGCTAAATTGTACAGGGAAGATAACAGAAACTGTTCGGAGTCTATGAATCTAAGCCCATTACTTTGCTTTATTCTGGCTTTCCATCCTTGTCCGTATAATGTATAGTTTTAGTTAACGAGAACGATATGTATTTTTCGAATATTACTAGGAATACACGTTAAGCCACCGTTGGTCTTTGAGATAGCTTGCATGATGAGAATCGTATCCTCTAAGGTTATGAAACACATTGGGGATGGGTATTGTTTGAGAATTCATTTTTAGTTTCAAGTTACACTCATTATACGCGGCTCCCCAATAATGACCCGTGACGTGGCAATGATCTCTTACGGAATCCCCATTCAGGGGTTTATTACAAACATGACAACTCGTTGACTTCTTATAGGCCCTCCAATCATCCCTCGTCATACACATGGGTTTCTTACACGATACATTTTCCCTGATTATTCTCTCTTCATTTTGTAGATATTCTAGGAACTTTCCTGCTGCATCGGGACCTCTGTAAATCACGGGCGGGTTTCTTTTCCCATCATACCTTACAACTATATATCCAAACCCACAAGGAATATGTTCTTGAGTTTTGTACGTAAAACTATCTTGATTATTGCGTTCAGTATTTTCTATAGGTTTGATAAGCGCTTCGAAGTCGGCGTAAATTACATACGGTACTGGCATTTGATTACAATAATGTTCAAATTTTAATATATTTTCCCCCTCTTTAGGCATATCGATCCTGATAGCATTCTGTCCAACACCTCTACAGTCTTCTTTATGTGCTTCTAATAGATCTTGTCTGCTGTACCCATGCAGGCATCTTTCGCAGAAATATTTCTTTCCCTTATATTTTGTTTGATCGTATAATAGCCTGTTTAAACTCTTTATCCATGTATAATGATATTTTCCATCTTTTTCGATCAGAAATGAATTGATTCTGGGAATATGTTCTGGAGCGGAGCTTATCCTGTGTACAACAATTCCTTTAGAAGAATGTCCGAAAACATTTATAGCTAAATTATTTTGCTTTTCCACCTTATCAATTTGTGATATTGGTGTAGGTTCGTCTATACCATCGAGGTTTAGTCCAGCGTTTTGGGGATAGCTAGAAGGTCTATCCGGATTTTTTTCTACGGGGAACAATGCAGATCTTATCATCATTCTGAAACAGTCATCGGATTTATTTTTTACATTAATTATGGCTTTTTTCTTTTTATAATACGGGGTTAAAACTATATAAGATCCAGCTTTAAAGAGGCATATAATTTGCTATATCTAAATATAAACTATCAATTTTATCCACACCCCAACCCGAGCCTCTATTAGTCCAGCGTTCTAAAGTTTCCTGTATCCTCTGAATTGATAATGAATATCTAATGATGTGCTTATAGTATCGGATTCAGTTATATCTTCTTGATTGCTTCGGAAATATGGTTCGGTATATTCAGTGCTATCGTCTGCGCTACTTTTACTCAATGTCATTTTAACCGTTAGCTGGTATTTTATACTATTTAAATCATCTAACTCCTCATTAATTTTACTCGATATGATGGGCTTAACATCATTAACATCCATGTTGGAATTAATATCCATCTTCCAACCTCTTAGATATTTACCAATGCCAGCGGATGCGGGTACAAATTTTAACTCATTATTTTTTTCAACATCGTCAACTGATTTATTATCGTCGGGTTGATTTTTATCTAGTAAAGCGATCAATTCAGCTTTTCTCATTCGAGAATAACCTCTCAGCCCACTGTTTTTTGCTTGAGCTTTGAGTTCTCTAACAGTCTGGGGTTTGTTGTATTCCCAACCGAGTAAATTGATCAATTCAGCTTTTCTCATTCAAGAATATCCACGTAGACCACGTTGCTTTGCTAAAACTTTCAGCTCTCTGACAACATAAGTCATTGTGATATATAAATACATGTGAACTAATGTCTAATTGGTTTAAATTCTACCCAATCTATTTATTTCATTTCGGTAAGCCTTTTTCCTCTCATAAATAATTTGAAACGGTTTCTTGTCAGCATGGTGACTCTTACATAAACAGTAACTACCTTTGACCCCACTCCCACATACAGAACACGAATAATTAATGTGTCCTTTTCTAATTGCAATGGAATGGATTCCACAAAAATCCGACATACAGCTCTTTCCACAAATTTGTGATAGGCCCAAGCGTATGAATTTACATGTTGATGTGCCTCTCGCCATTGTGATAAATATACACTTCTAGCATCATTTGTCTAAATGCATGCCCAGCCTAACATTTCCACTGGTGAGTCAGTGTGACATGGCTGATAAGACTCGCCCGCCCGCCCTAACTAGGTCATGGTTTATGCGTAGTTATTGTATAACATAAAATAGCCACACCAGTCAATCCCAACATGATTTTGTTCCTCTGACAGTGTATAAAACTGACTTATTGTTGGTTTTGGCATTGAGTCAAGTTTTTTGTCCATAAACGAGGAAGTATTCGTTCATGGCAGATTCAACATCCTTAAACGTTTGAATTGAGTGTCCCTGCGTAAGCAGTTCTTTATTAATAAAATCTAATCTCTCCATTCTGCGCCTGGTCCATTGTGACTGGGCTGCTTCGAGTTGTTCTAATGCTTTATTATGTCGTTTACTCTCCAAACCTCTCATACTAGAAAATAAAAAAATTACTCCCCGAAAAAGCTAGAGCATTAACAACAGCTCCACCGACCATCATCGCAATTGTTGCCATGTTTATATGAATATAAAATATTCAAATGTTTAATTACTTCATTATGTCTTCTGGGATAAGACCTTGTTTGATGAGCATATCTTTTGTTGCCATAGCCAATCCAATATCAAGAATGACCATACCAATATCATAACCATTAAAATCTAGCTTGGGTGGTGTGGCTTTAGTAATCATTTTAGCTATACGGGCATAGCCAATGGCCAAGCTGCTGAATGATACATTGCGTTTACCAACATTTTACCGTCTGTAACTGGAGTAGTCATGCTTCTTATTATAGCATTATATGGGGGCTAACCTCTAATTGAACTTGTTGTGACATCAGGGGTGATGTTTTCTCTTCTCCGGTCTTATAAAACAACCATACCACCGCTATAGCAACAACTCCTACCAGTGCCCATGTTTTAATCGGACGACTATGTTCAATATTTGAATTATGCATTAGTTTTGCTTTCCTCGCCAGCCGCCTGCGATTTTTGGGGGTTCTTCCTCGTCACTGGCTTGTGGTATTTCCTCATTCACAATCTGTTGTGATTGTGCAATCGGAGTTATTTCCTCGTTCACTTGTTGTGATTGTGTTTCCGCAATCTGTTGTGGTGTCACTTGTTGAGTCTCCATTATTATTAAGTGGGCACGTATGTTTAAATTGACAATACCTAGCCGTTATTAAAGCTGTGGTGAGTGGAGGTAAGAACATTCCATATCTATGATAAAACTCACAGCTTACTGAGCTTATAGCCTGTTCGATGAATGGGTCTTTCTCGAGAGTTTCGCATAAATACGGCGATGTTCTGCCGGGATAGGAAGAAATGTACTAGCTACGACTGTGTATAGTTGTAACATAGCCGAACCTATTGTTTTAGTCATGGTAGCTCCCAGTCTAGACTTGTAATGCACATACAGTTTTTTAATTTCATCATCGGTCATGTTATCAATTTTTTCGATGGTATAATTTTCACCCAAATATTGGGAACA